TGGTGGTTATACTATATAATTATCTAAGTTAGAAAACTAAATATTTGTAACAAATTACAATGTTATATATATATATATAATACATCGTTCAGTACTAAAAATTACATCATATGGAAGACATTTTATTTGGTACAAATCCTTAGGTTGTATGTCTGAATCAATATTCACTATAGTTTCCAAAAAAAAGTGATTTGTCGTCTTTTTTGGACCAAATACGACAAGTTGCTACCAGGACCGACTCAAGACTAAAATTGGCCCAAAGGCAAAAAAAATTTTTTTGGCCCCCTAATTTATTTTTGATTGTTTTTTTTGCTAAATAAAACAAGTTTAAATTTTTTTAGTAAATTCAGTTAATTAAATATGGAATTACGTTATAAAAAAATATGGGCCTTTTAATTTATTTTTAACTAAATTTTATCTAATTTTTATCAAAAATTTTTTTTTAAATTTTGGGCCCCTTAATTCTTGGGACACTAGGTGTCCCGGGGCATCGCACCACATGTCCTCCTGCCTGATCCGACACTGGTTGCTACAAATCTATTGTAAGATAAGTTATAGTATGCTTTACTTCTACCGAGACATCTATCATCTCAACATAGATATTTTTCTGGATTCACATGAAGAAGAGTTTTGGTTACTTTGTCCAACACAAATTGTTTTAATTGCTTTACAGGGTGATTAAAACTATGAAAGCATTTTAAAAAATTATTCAAATTCTAAATTTCTCTAATCAAACTTGTTGGATTTAGCACCCCTTTCTTTAATTTTCTCACATCATATTTTTTTTTTGTTTCATATTATGTTTTATTTAATTATAGCTTTTCTTTGGTAATTTTTTAATTGTTCACAGTTAACTATATAAAAGTTAAAAAAGAAAAATTTTTATAGAATATTTTTGCATTTGATAAATAAAATATATATTTCTATACTAAATTTACATTAAAATATAGTAATTTACATAAGAATTAAATAAATATACACAAAACTCTTAATTGTAATTTTTTGAATTAATTTACATACGAATTAGTTATTAAATTATTAGAATTAATTGCTAAAGTTAATAAAGATATTTATATCATCTCAACGGATATTTTTCTGGATTCACATGAAGGAGAGTCTTGGTTATTTTGTCCAACACAACTTGTTTCAATTGCTTTACAGGGTGATTAGTAAATTGGCTTTAAAAACTATGAAAGCATTTAAAAAAATGTTCAAATTCTAAATTTTTCCAATCAAACTTGTTGGATTTAGGACCCCTAAAAGTCCTAAAATCATTTTTTAATTTTATCACATCATG